CACCCCTGGGAAAAGGCATGGATATTCTAGAATTTCATTGGAGTTAATTACAGACCATCTATATAGATGAGACATATAAGCTCTTGCAGAGGAGACTAAGTGTATTTTTTGTCTTTGTTACAGAAGGAGATTGAGTGATGGTATTGAATCCTGCACTGGTTTCAGGAACTTACTGAAGCAGCCACCTCTTTCCAAGGGATGCAGGCCCTGGCCTTCCCTCTGCCGCCTTCCTGCTGTGACTTCCCTGAGCATCTAATTAGGGAATAAATGGCACCCTACTGGGTATAAGTGAGAGTTGGGTGTCATAGGAAACAGTCATGACAACTTTAGTTCCTGGGCTCCAATTCCAGAGTTTTGTGAAGCCTCCCAGGGCCATCTACCCTTCTTCCCGGTGGAATGTGCTTCTCCCAGCTCAGCAGAGCAGGGTGTGCGCTGACGCCCAGGACTCACCATGGTAGATCCCAGCTGAGAGGTCATTACCAAGAGCTCACGACCTCCCAGCTCAAGAAAATTAGAGCACCAGGTCCTGGAAGCTCCCAGAGACATGGCACACTCCCCCAGGGTAGGAACCCACCCAGGATCCAGCGTCTCTTTGAATGCGGGTGTACTGGATTGACACCATGACAGTATAGCCGCTGTCCTTGTTCTTGGTTTTCCAGTGGTGTAAGGCAGACCCCCTTCCTTCTAGAACAGTGACCAACTCAGACTTTGCCTCCGCAGCACAGGGCAATAGGGAAACAGTTACCTGGTCCCATGGACCCAAGGAACTCGGCAGCCCCCAACTCTGCGGCCTCTCTGACTGGCCTGGAATTGTCCCTATTCCTCCATTAGACAGCAGTGGTCCAGGCCTTGAGTGTCCCAGGTGGGTTCCCTTGGTCAGCTATGATTTTCTTGGCTGTTCAGCCTCCTCCATCCCCCTTTCCTAACAGTTCCCGGTTCCTTTGGGTGAAGGAGCTCTCCCTTCTGGGTGCAAGAGTGAGGGGATGTTAAACAAAGTGCTGGCCCTTGAACAGGCCAGGCCAGCCAGATCTGTTTGGTGGGAGTTGGGCTCTTGAGTGAAGTATTGTGAGGAGTTGTTTGTTTTAAAAAAGAAAAAAAAGATTGGTAAAATTATTAACATCCTTAAGGACATGGCTGCATCATTCCTGGTGCTCAATGCCTGGAACCACTCTGATTCCTGCCTTTTTCCAGGGCTATTTGCCAGCCCAGTACCCCTGCCTTCCAGCCCTTTCTGTGAGGCACTGTGTATTTCATCATCAAAGTCACTTTTTGTCTAACCTAGATAAATTGGGTCTCTCTTGACCCAATTGATGGCAAAGAGCCTGAATTGATACAAAGGTATTTGTGTTAATCTTAGATTTGTTTATTTATTACTTATGTATTGCATGCAAGGCCAGAAACTTTCTAAGTGAATAATAAATATTAACTTATTAATCTTCACAATAATCCAGAGAGTTACCTCCATTTTACAGATGAAAGAGTGCAGGGGAAGGAAGAATAGCTTGCCCAAGCACACACTGTCAACAAGTAGACACGTGCAGGAGCTGAGCTTCTACCTACATGGGCTACATTCAGAGTCTGTGCTCTTAATTGCTAGCCTATGCTGCCTGTCAGTACAAGTTAGTGTTGCTTACAAGACAAAAATCACTAACTAGCCAGTAACAATTCAGTTTGGATGAAAAAATGAAAAGTATGGCAATGATGACGTAGAGCTGTATTTATTGATGTGACGATGTCCATTGTATATTATTAAGTGAAAAAAATTGATAAGAATTTTTTACTTATTAAGATGGTATACCCACTTTCTCCCTACTCCCTGACTCCCAAACACACACACATTACAAAGCCTAGAATCACATTCATCAGAATGTCAACCATGGTGATTCTCCTAACCTGGGGAGGCCCACCAAGCTCTGGGTTTCTTAGTGCTAGAAATATGAGCTACAATAGCATGGAGCTTTGGAGGGAATACACTGACATGCTCCAGACCATTGAACCCCTGAAAGCTTACCTATATGGCATATCTCTGAATCTTTGCAACGTTTCTCTCCCACCACCTGCAGTGTTTGTGACTTACTAAGTCATTGAGAATAGTCAACATTTCTTGCTTATCAGGCCCATGAACACAGTGTCATCAATCCACTGGACCAATGTCATGTGTTGCAGAGTGTCCAGAAAGGCTATATTGTAACACAGACCAGGATTCACATTGCCCTGGAGCAAGACTGTAAAGATATACTGTTGTCCAATCCTTGAGAATGTGAATTGCTTCTCAACCTACATCCTGCTGGATCCTTTAAAAGTGGCATTTCCATATTAATAGTTTCATATCACTTACTAAGGCTGTGCTAACCTGTTATAATAAAGATACCACATTTGGCACCACAACTGTAATTGGGGTTACTCTTTGGTTAAGTTTCTAGTAGTTGTTTAGTAGCATGAACCACCTAGCTTTTCCAGAGGGCAGACTGTTGAATTAAAATGGAGATGTAACTGGGATAACAACCCCTGCCTCCTTCATATCTTTGTAGGTGGCACTAATCTCTATGATTCCCCAAGAATGTGATAATTGCTTTTAACTTACTCTTTTTTCACCATGAAACTTCAGTTTCAGAGCCTTCTGCGTGGTCCTCCCTAAGACAGTCATTGTTATTTCATAGTTTAGGAAACCACAGGTTAAGGAACCAGGTCAGCCAATTGCTATGTATTACAATGTTTGCATTAATGAATATCCTGATTATACATTCAGGAACTGGGGAAATGATTGCTGGGTGGCTCTGTGGATCCAGAGGGCCCATTGTGAGACAGACATTACCTGATCTCCATGTACTCTACTCTAACAGGGGCCACGATAGGGCTTTGGGTCCCCAGGGATTAGCATCAACTCTGACATTGTACTCAACATCCCTTGAAAGATCTGTGTATTTTCCTTTCCCCAACATGTGAGTTACTCGAATAAATGGCCATAGAGCCCTCCCGTGAAAACTTGAGGGAATCAGTGCTGTGCACATTAACAAGGTTCTTCCTTATGAGAAACTGCCCTCATTTCCAACAGTGGGTTCTGGATTCCATTGAGAACTGGCTGAGGTTCGGAAGCTGGGCAAGGGGTCTAGACTTTACCTTTAGAGAGCTGACCTCGGCATTCTGCTCATTGATTTTCACTTTTTTTTTTATTATATATCTAAAGCAATATCCTTGTCAGCTGCCCATCTGTCTTGCCTGTAGGAAGAGCATATCCATGCATGTCTGTCTTCATAGATACCTACAGGCCAGGCCTCTCAGCTGTCACTCTAACGTTGATGACCCTTAGGGAAATTACTTTATCTTGTCCTCACAGTTAAATGCTGCCACTTGGCCTCTGTTATTCTGGAATTCTATCATTTTGCTCACTACTGGGGGATCCAGTTCTATAAAACATCCCTAGCATTATTCCAGCCTGCAGGGGACAGCCACCTTTGAGCTTGTCAAGGATGTGCTGCCCCCTCAGCAGTGCATTCCTTCTCACCTTAGTTAGAGTCTGAGACACCTTAGTAGTGTCACCTGTTGGAGGAACTCAGTCACCTGATGGATGGATTCTCCAGTTGTAGAGCACAGAGTCATTCTAGCGCCCAACTTCTATATCCTTGGGACCCCTTTTTCCCAGACTCTGCCACAGTAGTCCTGGTATCTCTGCTTCCACTTGATTTAATGTGTAGCATGGCTTATACTAAGTCTCTGGGAGCCACCCAGGAGTATATCAGAATTGTTACCTTTGGCCCATGCCAGGCTAGTTAAACTCTGTGGTAGAGAAGCTTGCCCTTTTGTCAATAATTCTCACTTATCTGGTTTCACATTTCGCCCTTCCTGGACCAGGATCCACTCCCAGACACAATCTCCTCGCTCCTGCTGATGCAGCTGGCCAGTCCTACAGCTCCTTCGGAGGATGAACGCTCTCTTCACTTTGTCACCCTGCCCATGACTGTGGACTTGCATTGTCCTGAGCGGTCGCTATATAGTCTTCATTCTAGAAAAATCAGGAGTTGGGTGGGAGTGGTAGCTCCCTCTTCCAACAAGGGGCGAGAGGACCTTTCTGTAGGCCCAGTGAGTTCAGGGGGCATCTGGAGTTAAAGTTCTCAAGTACATCTACCTAAATAGCCCCATGCTGAGTTTCAAGGCCTTGACATTGGCATAAGAGACCACCCTGAGCTTAGAATTCAGTATTCTCTGAAGTCTGGCTCTTTGTAAAATAAGGGCCTGTAATAGGCTTTCCTTGCTGTCTGCCTTCCAGCTGTAGGGTCTCTTCTCTTTAGGCTGGTGATGACTAGATCTAAACCTGTCATTTACTCTTCTCAGGACATTAATGACCCTTAGCAATAGACACCAAAACCCATACTTCTATAGTTACTTTTCCTCACTTCTTAAATGCCAGACAATTGTACCAGCTACTTTAGTACATGGCTTGACCTGTAGCTCATTCAATTTACTACAGGTGAAAATTTGGGCAACTGCTCAGTGATAGCACTTCTGGGACTATCCATATTCCACCCAGCACCATTGGGCTAGACAGTGATCCAGCTCCAGAATCCTGTCCTCAGAGCTTGCTTCCTGGGGCCATTACCTTAGGTTGCATTCCCCAGAAGCACATTCTGGGATGAAGTCCCTTAAGCAAGAGATTTATGGTGAGCATTCGCTCAGAAAGGAGTAGGGGAAGCAGCATTGTGTGGCCAAAAGCTCTGTGTAGCCGCACAGAGTAGCCACACACCACATCCTTGGTCCTGCTTTGAGGCAAGGGGGACGGCCTCAGACCATGGGGTGTCACTTCCAGGCAAAGCTGATTCTACTTGACCCAGGGTAATATTCTGGGGACTGCTGGCATTAGCAGCCACCACTCAGCAGCTGGGGATGAAAAGACGTGGCCAGAAGAGGAGATGGTGCCAGGATGCCAACAAGCTTTGCAAGGGAGTGAAAGATGGCTAGATTCATTGGCTGAGCTACAAATGAATTAAATTGACAAAAGCAGATTAACAGGAGGAAATTTTTTTTAATAATATATTTATGCATAGGAGTCCCACGAAATATGAGACTCCAAGAAGAGTCAGATGATGGATGCTCACACACCATCCTGAGCTATGAAAAAGAATGGGGACTTGGGGCTTCTGCATGGAGGTGACACGGAAGTGGGAGAGTGAAGGGAAGAAGTGTCTCCTGAATAAAGCTTGGCTGGTTTTCAGATAAAAGGTCTTCTGGGTAATAAACGTTGTCTGGAGCAGCCCTCAGAAGTGAGAGTCTATGTGGGATGGTGTCACCTCCGGTATCCTCCCCTGTGATCGCACTTACTCTTCCCTGACTGATGAGATACTCAGGGTTGTGATTCATGATGATTGAATTTCCTTTTGAGGATTTGTCTTTGGGCAGATGAGGGAGGCTCGGAGAAAAGCCCCTCCCTGCATGTGCTGTGCCCAAGTGACCTCATTTTGAAGTAAGTGGCAAACCAGTGGCATATTTTGGGGTGTCATTTGCTGAATGCCTTCAGCATCCACTAATCCAGTCAATTGTTACCATTTGTTTCCTGAATAGCAAACACTTCCTTGAAATGCTTCTCAAACTCAGCCTCCAGTCTAAGTCCCATTTGGCCAAAATCCTTGTACTGAAAAAATAATAAAGACAAAAACAATGCTCCTCATCATTAGCGTCATCAGACAACTTTCAACTGAGAAAGATCAGGACTCTTGTGTTTAAAACAAAAAAAGTACTGTAAGTCGACAATTTATAATGGTATGTATTTTGGAGTACAAAGTAATGCTGTGATTTATGACTGCTATGTGGAATAATTAAATCAAACTAATTAACATATTCATCACCTCAAATAGTTATCATTTTGTTTCAGTGAGTACATTTGAAATTCACTCTCTGAACAATGTTGAAGTGTGAAATACACTATTGTTAAGTAGAACTCTTATCTTAAACACCCTAAGTTACATTAACCAGGTTAAACTTGAAAACTCATGCAACTAATAGTAACTTCTGTTTCTCACCAGCATGATCCTTTCTTATTAACAGGGCAGAAAAGTGAAATCATTTCTACATTTGGGATTTTTACTTATTGACTTTGGTTGCTTATTTCAGTGGGTTAGAAAAGTAATCTATGCTCTTTCAACAATTCAGATAGTGGAAGGGTATAAGTTAAGATCGCTATCTGTTCCTTTCTCGGTCACTTCTACTCCTTGCTGCTAATCCGTGTTAACCATATGGTGTATTCACATGCAAAGGAATCTGGAGTTTGGGATTTCTGGGATTGGGGGCAGATAAGAAGCACAATACCACTTTAAGATGAAATTCTCTTCTCTTTATATGCTACAGCAGGCAGGACTCAATTGCTCTCTCTGAGCTCCTGTCTCCTCTGGGGCAGGTAGGGGAGGAGCTCTCAGGGACCTGGAGTTCTGGTTGCAGGGACACCTTTTGACTCACTGTTTCCTTGCTAAGAAGAGCTTAAGTTCTGAACTGAAAACAATCAATCACTTCCAGAACCCTTGTTTGTGCAAGCTTATTACAGGATGAGGGAAACTAAATTTTTCTAGGCACCAGAAAATGAGGGGAAGGATGGAAAGAAATGAAATGGAAGCAGGAAGAGCCACCTACCTTGTAAGAGGCCCTGTGGTTCTGGAAGATGAGGCGCATGTCTCGTACAAACCCCTCCACTTGGGGGTAACTGTGCTCATTCAGCTTTTTCTTGATTTTATCCAACCACATGGGCTCCTTCAGGCCTTGACACATCTCTCTAATCTGGTGACAAAAAACACAACAGAAAATCTACCAGCATAGTTCAATGTCTGCCTTCTGTGGATTCCCATAAAATCCAGCAGAAATACAAGGTGAAGGTTGTAACGACAGCATGTGCTCTTGCCCCATGGGATTAAGATCACAAATCTCACGAGGGCCCATTTCAGGGTCAGGTAATGTCATGGCAGCCTGTAATCATGGGTTGCTGTTTTTACTTACATAATAATAGTATGGAATCTTGGCAAAAAAGGAGCTCTCAGAACAGCAATAGACTTTCAAGAGGAGGAACTCACATTTCTGCAAAAGAAAGAGGCTGTAAATGAAAAGCAGCTTGGAGAGAATGAGCCCACATGCATGAGACGGAGCACACGACTCACACCCTTCTTCCACAAGTTTCTCTAACATGTGTGGCTCTTGGAAACAGACATGTCATGGCTGAGTTATTTTTTGTGCAAACAAATTGGGGTGTTCTATCAGTGTGATTGAAGTGTGGCTCGGAAGAGTAGGCTCCTTTTGGTGCATTCCCCTGACCCTGTGCTTGTTCATGGTGCTCATGTGTGAGGGGAAAGGAGAAGGCTTGGGGTTTGCATCTGACTTACCAACTGTTCCTGCGGACACATCTGCCTCTCCAGGACCTCAGATTCCTGACAACACTGTTGGCTTCCTGAAGACTCCTTCATCCTGCAGAAGATGCAACTCCACGGGGTCCTGAGAGATTGGACATGGGTGAGCAGAGGGCAGGGACCCTGGAAACGGCCACCGTTCCTGTGGCTGCCACTGTCTTCCTTCAGGAATGGCCAATGGCCTCAGCCATGGGAGGGAGGAGAATACCTCCCAGAGTATGCAGGATTCACACATGGGATCTCCAGCCATTGGCCTTTCCCTTGCATCAGTGGTAGCAGCAGGCAGGAATCCTCAGGAAGGTGGTGTCACCATGAGTGTGGACTCTCCTTTCCCTGTCTGAGCTGCTGGGAGCACAAGCAGCCCTGCCTGTCAGGCCTGAGTTTCAGAAACTGGGCTTTCAGCTCCAGGGACCTCGGGCCTCCATCAGCCCAATGAGACCGTGCTACCTGTCTTGTATAAATAAGCACAAAATATAAACAACTGGCGCTTCTTGTCTCCAACCCACCCTGCTGCAAAACTTGAAGGACAAGGCCAGTATGTAGGCAAAGGGTCCCCAGCACTGGCCTCAGCATATCAGAGGCGGGTCCCTGAGAGCACAGAGAACATGAACCTCCTGCTGCCAGCGTCTCCCGCTGATCTCTGAACACACTGCTCGGTCCCAGTACCCGAGGAACCTGCTCCTTCCCCATCTAGACACAAGTGGGCGCTCTGCTGGAGAGTGCGCATGGCAGGCGGAAGGTCCCTTAAAGGAGGAAGGAGAGGCGCCTGCATGTCACTCACCTCTCAGTTTCCACAGGCGCGATGTGACAGTCTTCATGGAAGACTCTTGAACAAGTGTCACAACAGAACAGCTCCCCTCCGTCCCGGCACACCTCACACTCATCCAAGTTTCTCATCTAGAAGGTAAAACAGTGTCCACGTCACTGGGAACCGCAAGATTCAGGAAGGCCACCCCTCTGGGCATCTAGAACACACTGCCTATGTGTGAGTCTGTGTGGACAGGCGTATGCTTCTCCCTGGGATATGAAGGAAAAGCATGGCGGGGAGATTTCAGAGCAAATCCTGGTCTGCAGTGAAGTTCAGGAGGCAGGGGTATGTGTCAGAATAAAAACGTTTTCCTTATAAAACCAGAGTTTGTAATGCAGAAAGACTAGCAACAAAGCAAGATGGTGATTTTATAGGAATCTGAATAATTGTATTACGCTGCAGATAAAACCAGTCAAATAAAGTGTTAAATCCATTTGCCTATACCACAAATCAGCTGGTGAAAAGGAGACTCAGAGAATTACATATGATAGAATAAGCTTCTGAGATATCATCACATGCCATATTCTTGGCCATAAGTTCCCCATGAGTTGAAGAGAGGGCCTAGTTAGGGGTTCCTAGACTGTAGGTTTTGCGCCTGGAGGGCTCTACGCCGACCTCTGAGGGGGAAGGACCGTGGGTACAGATGACCTCATGGACCACAGGGAGTACAGAGCTCTTCGGCTCTGGGAGCCTGGCAGATGATCTCCCATGACTTAGCTAACCTGGATTGTAAGGTGCGAAGGTGCCATCTCTAATGGCCAAGGACAGTGGTAACAGCACCATACAGTGTTGAAGATGGAGGCCCTCTCCTCATTTCCTGGGCCCATAAAAGAGCTGGTGCTTTGTTCTATAAAAAGAATGGGAAATCAGCTAATTCTCTATTTCTCACCAGTCTCAATATATGAGACCTTCAGCCAGATTTAATTTGATTTGGGGAAATTAAAATATGATAGTATTTGCATTCATGTGTTGTGGAGCAAATCCCAGTCATTAAAAACCAACAGAATTTATAGAGCAAATATAGAGACCAATACATAGAGGCTGTATTGTAGACAAATGCATGTGTATTCATGACAAAGAACCAGTCTGTGACTGAGCCCTTTGTCGTTCAAGGGAAAAGTGCTGTGAGGACTAAAATTAGAGTTCAATATTATGTGCAGCCTGGACATCTGGTAACACTGGGAGGGCCTAGAATGGTCTATCTACAAGTTCTCCCCTGGCTCTGCTCCTGCAGATAAGGTTTCCTACCAACACTTCTGATCAAGAGGACTGCTTGCACCCTCTGCTTATTTTTGAAGAGCTGATTTCAATTCCCTGCCAGTCATGGAATTATTCAAACCAGCCAATCACACTCTCCCTCTGGAAGCAGGGGACAGCCCACCCTCCACAGCCACTGACTGTTTCCTCTGTTCCTGAGCGCAGCCCCCATGTGGCCCTGTGTGGTGTGGGATGCCTGCCCTCCCCCACCGGGCTACTGAGTAAATGTGACTCATAAACTGCTGTCAATCTCATCTGCCCAGTGTCAGATGTTGTGTGTTCCACCATCTCCAAAACGCTAGGGTGGGAATGAAGTACCAAACATTTAAATACGTCGAATCCTTAATCTTTTTAAAAAACTATTATTTCAATAGTTTTGGGGGAACAGGTGTTTTTTGGTTACATGGATAATTTTTTTAGTGGTGGTTTTTGAGATTTTGGTGCACTCATCACAAGAGCAGTGTACACTGTACCCAATGTGTAGTCTTTTACTCCTCACCCTCCTTCCATCCTTCCCTCTTAGTCCCCAAGGCCCATTGTATCATCTTTATGCCTTTGCATCCTCATAGCTTAGCTCCAACTTGTAAGTGAGAACATACGTTGTTTGGTTTTCCATTCCTGAGTTATTTCACTTAGAATAATGGTCTCCAACTCCATCCAGGTTGCTGTGAATGTCATTATTGCATTCCTTTTTTACCTGAGTAGTATTCCATAGTATGTGTGCGTGTGTGTGTGTGTGTTTGTGTGTGTGTGTGTATATATATATATATATATATATAAAGACATGCATGTGCAAGTGTCTTTTTCATATAATGACTTTTTTTTCCTGCTAGGTAGATACCCAGTAGTGATACAGAATCCTTGGGGTATTGCTTTTTCTTGCTAGAAACCTCTGTAGCCAGTGGTGCCTTTGCCTGAGTTTTGCTTGGGCCCACTGGGCTGCTTCCACCCACTTGGCCTGGCAGGCTACACTTGGCTCAGGCTACTGGCCTGGATCCCACACCTACCAAGGGCCTGCCATGGGGCAGGTCAGGCATGGAGCGGGGAGGGGTGTGTGAGCAAGCAGGGGGTCCAGCCACTGCACACAGTCAGACATGCCCTGCTGTTGCATAAGGGCAGGCAACTCCAGGTGCTGGCATGAGCACTGGCTCTCTGCAAGGGTGTGTCTGGACCAGGCACACTGCAAGCAGCTTCCATGGCTGGCACCATGGAATGTGGTGGCACCTGGAAGCTTGAAGATGCCAGGAACCACAGAGCCTTCAAAAGGGTGTCACAGCCCTGGCTCAGGGAGCTTCCAGGTCTGGTGTCCCCAAAGGGTTGCAGCTCTTCTCTCCTCTTCATCCACAACGTGGTAATCAAGGGGCATGTTTCAGCCCTGTTTGTGTTACAGCTCTTTTAGCCTCGCCATTCAGCAGATCCCAAGTTCTTTTGTCCTGCGACCAGGAAGAACGAGGGACATAGACAAGTGGAGGGTGAGCAAGACGAAGCGGAGCTTTACTGAGCAGTAGAACAGCTCAGAGACCCACTGTGGGTAGCTTCTTTCTGCAGCTAGGGTTTCCTGATGAGTGTTCAGTCCTCAGCAGAGAGGAGGAGGTCCTGGGGTGGGTGACTTCTCTCTGCTGGCAGGTAGTCCCTGGAGTGCAAAGCTCCTCTCTGCTCCTGGGTGTCCAGGATGTTCTCTCCAAGTCTGACTGAGTCTAGAGCTTTTATGAGCTTCAGAGGGAAGTGTATGCTGATTGGTCCATAGGTGACCATGAGCAGACCTTTGAAAGGTGTTGCAAGTTCCCACTCTGGTCCACAGGATTGGCAGCCCAGTTCCCAGCCTTCAGGCCCTCCCTTGCCTGAAGGTGGTGCCTCACCAGGGACCTGCCCCTTCCCACCCAGGAGCCTGTCTGCCTTCCCCCGGCACCCATGGTACCCAGGCCCCTTGCCCCAAGGGGCACTTGCAGGCCAGTGCTGAGCTGGCCCCAGCCCATTCTTGGCCTCTCTTCTATGCTTGTCAGCACTCAAAGTCCAGAGGGGTGCAGGCGGCAGGGGACTGGTGTGTCAGCTCTGCCCCAAGCATGCACACACCTGACTGGGCTGCAACCGCACCTGGCTCAGCCCCAACCCCGCTCCAAGATTGCAGCGGGTGCTGGGAGCAGGGAGAGGTCAGGCAGCAGAAGCAGACACACCCTAGCCTGCCATGGCAGGAGGAGGATGGCCTCCTGGGCCCCCAAGAGCACTGGGAGGCCCAGGCCTACAGCTGCGACCTGGGCACCTGCAGTGGTGCCTGGCGAGCTCCTGCCCTGCCAATTCGGGAGGCAGGGCTCCTGCTTGTCCCGGCTCTGCAGTGTGGCAGCCTCAGCCATGCCCCCTCTCTGTGTCTCCTGCAGCAGTTGTGGATGAGGTGCAGGTGGCACAGTGCCCAGCCAACCTCGCACAAAGGAATCTTGACACTCAGGGTCCAGTTCTGTGAGTCCTTGCTGCACCTTTGGCCAGGTGCTTGCAGGTTCCCAGGACGCAGCGGGGAGAGAGGTCCAGGCTGTGATAGAGGCTCTGGGCTTGGGAGCAGGTCCTGCCGGCCATGTGAGGGGTGAGGGCGACACAGTGAGCTGACTCAGGGCACAGGGGATCCACTGCCGCCACTGCTGCTCCTGCGGCCATTCCTGCTGCCCTGTCTACCTCCTTGCAGCCTGGGTTGGGGGCTCCCGCCCTTGCCAGTCCCAGGCCAGGGTCTGGGGCAGGGGTGATGTTGCCTCAAGTTCCTCCTGTGGCCCCAAGGGTCAGGGACGACTTGGGGCACCCCCTCTCCTGGCTCGTGACCCTGCCAGGGGGAAAGCTCCAGGAGCGGATTGCCTCCCGTCTTGGCTGCTGAAAGCACCAGTCACAGCGGTCACTCTAACGCGGGGCAGATCCTAGGGACACAGTCTCTGGCGGCCCTTCGTTTAGCCTTCTGTGAGGGGCAGGAACCTGCACTGAGGGCAGAGTGGGTGCAGGGGCCGCATTGCTGGCTGGGTCCTGGAAGTGGACACCACTTCCACTTCCCACTCTGGCCCCTGAAGCATGGCCACTGCTCCGCATTGGGGGCCGACCTCCACACTACCTGTGCAAGTGCCAAACCACCACTGGCCCAGCTCCGCCTTGGGGCCTCTCTCTGCTCACCCCTCCCTGCCTGACCACTCCCTATGGGCAGCTGGGCCTAGCCCCATTGCAGCAGCTCCCAGAGGTGGGCTCCAAGGGCGACTGGCTCTGGGGATCACCTTCCTCTGTGTCTGAACGGGAGGACCCATGGCCAGTGCCTGCACCTCACTGCAGCCAGCTTCATGGCAGCAGCCACTTCAGACTGCCCGCTACTGCCATCAGTAGTGGGACTGCTAGATCAAACGATAGATCTACTCATACTTCTTTAAGGAACCTCTGTACTGTTTCCGTAGTGGCTGTACTAGTTTACATTCCCACCAGACGTGTAAAAGTGTTCTGCTTTCACTACATCCATGCCAACACCTGTTGTTTTTGATTTTTTAATTATGGCCATTCTTGTAGGAGTAAGGTGGTATTGCATTGCGGGTTTGATTTGCATTTCCCTGATCATTAGTGATGTTGAGCATTTTTTCATGTTGTTTGGCCATTTCTCTATCTTCTTTTGAGAATTGTCTATTCATGTCCTTAGCCCACTTTTTGATGGGATTATTTGATTTTTTTCTTGTTGACTGCTTTGAGTTCCTTGTAGATTCTGGATATTAGTCCTCCGTCGGATGCATATTTTGCAAATATTTTCTCCCACTCTGTGGGTTGTCTGTTTATTCTGTTGATTATTTCTTTTTCTGGATGGAAGCTTTTTAGTTTAATT